CTGCTCTCCTGGATGCTGCTTCAATCTGTCTGACCTCATGTTCCTCATTGACCTCTGCAGTCCCTCCCTCTGTAATGTACAGCTCTGTGTAGATCTCATTCAGAAAAGCTGGATTTCCTGCTTTAGCGAGCCCCTCAAACACACACTGGAACTTCTTCTTCAGGTTAGATTTGAGTTGACAAGCTGGAGCAGTAGTTCCTGAATAGACAACAACAAATAAGATCAGTGAGTGGATGTTAGTAAAAATGTGAAGGAAGAGTTCAGGGAAGCCTCTTACTGATCTGCAGACGGTCAGCTAACTCCTTGTGCTTCATTTTCCTCAGGAAGTGCAGAGTGATATTCAGAAAAGCTTGCTGGCTGTTGCTCCTCTCCTGTTTCTCTTCATTGTCCACCACTTCCTCATCCTTATTCTGCTTCTCTAAGCATTCTGGGTAATGTGGACTCAGAATTGTCTGCAGTTTCTTCAGTTCTTTCTTCACAAACATGACAATGTTCTCCTCAAGATGCTGGAAAAGAATGATAAGGTCTTATGTTATAATTCTTTTTTATCTGAAGCTAAAGTTGGAGTTGTTGTGGTTGTTTGCCCACCATAAACAATGAGTCCAGGTCGACTGCATGCTGCTGGACAGAGTGACCAGTGGAGCCCTCTGACTGTCCACCACTGTGGAGAAAACAGAAGGATGTTCTTATAAAACAACACCTTTGCATACGTAGCTTTTCGAGATATTTCACACATATGATGATAGTTTCTGGATAACACCGATGACCCCTTCACTTGTCCGTATTATACGTCATTATTTCTACAATTATTTGAAGAAAACCCTGTTGTCCTTCTCAATTTGTGGGAAACCTAGTGGCTCTGATCTGATGGTAAAATCTTAGCCCCCCCAATACAATGCAGAAGTTTACAGACCCTCCATAAGCCGGACACCCGAGTTGTGGTAACTCCAGGCAGCAGGTCAGACTCAGGCTACGTTCACACTGCAGGACTTGATGCTCAATGAGGATTTCTTTGTGACTTCCTTCACGTTTCCA